TGAGTGTGCCCCTCCTGCTCTGTGTGCTGGCTCCTGGCTCATGAGTGTGCCCCTCCTGCCCTGTGTGCTGGCTCCTGGCTCATGAGTGTGCCCCTCCTGCCCTGTGTGCTGGCTCCTGACTCATGAGTGTGCCCCTCCTGCCCTGTGTGCTGGCTCCTGGCTCATGAGTGTGCCCCTCCTGCCCTGTGTGCTGGCTCCTGGCTCATGAGTGTGCCCTCCTGCTCTGTGTGCTGGCTCCTGGCTCATGAGTGTGCCCTCCGGCTCTTCCACCTGGGCTGTATGTCCAGCTCTGACTTCCTGCACAGCTTTCCTGCTCTGCACTGTCAAGGAGCACTATTCATTTATTTATTTAGCGGTACCAGGGATTGAACTTGGGACCCTGCACGTGCCAGGCAAGCGCTTATTCTACTGAGCCATCTCCCCGGCCCCCGTTGGTGCTTTCGTGATCTGCCCTGTCTTTGCTGAGTAGTGTCTGCTGTGTGGGTGGGCGTGGTTGGTGCGTCCCCCTGCGGAAGCAGATTCAGGTGAGTCCCAGTCTCAGCCGTGGCACAGCTGCTGAAGACCCCTGTGTACTGATGACTGTTGAGCTAGTCTTGCTTCTCCGGCAGGCACAGAGTGGGGTTTCTGCGTCACTATGGGGTGCACTCAGTAGTTATCCCATCTACTTTTTTTGGTTGAGACAGGGTCTCATATAGTGCAGACTGGCCTTGAACTTGCAGGGAATCTCCCGCCTCAGCCTCCCCAGGGCTGGGATTACAGATGTGCCCCCATGCCCACCTCATGATCATTATTTTTTTTTTAAGTATTCCTTTCCGCAGTCTTTGCAGTGAGCGTGCAGTGGGATCTTCTGTGGCTTTAGTTTTCGTTTTGTGAGTGTGTGGGGAGGTGGCTGTTTGCTCCAGCGCTGAGTCCCAAGCATCTGTGGTCTGTGTCAGTGGGGTAGTATCTTTATTTATTTATTTATTTATTTGTGTGTGTGTGTGTGTGTGTGTGTGTGGCCAGCTCAGTCCACCAGGGGGCGGGCTGGCTGACATGTGGTGCCGGGGGATCGAACCGTGGTCCCCGTGCTCCGCCAAGCTTGTTCCAAGTAGGTGCCTCAGACCACTGAGCCATCTCGCCAGCCCCAGTGGGGTAGTATCTTCTCCCTGTGGAGTGCGAGAGCTGTCTGCTCATGCTGGACGAGTCCCGCCGGGTGCAGGGTTTGCAGACCCGCTCTTGTGGTCTGTGGCTTGTGTCTCACCCTCCCAGCAGGGTCCTTTAGGTGAAGGCGCTGAGCTTGGCTGAAGCTCCGAGAGCCCTACCAGGCGCTTTGAGGACACAGCGTCTCTTGTGAATGCGTCCAGAAGTTCTGATCAGCTTGCGCCATGCGCATAGGCCTGCAAGCGCTGCAGGTCAGTGAGGTGAGTTCCGGGTCCGCTTCTTGCTTCTGGTGGCCACTACTACAGACCCGAAGAGCAGTGTCATGCCTCAGAGGTGCCGCCTCTCCCTGCACTGGCTTGGCGTGGGGAAGATGATCTTGCACCGCTTCGTTTGTTGTCCCAGAGATGGACCTTGGGACCCTTGCTTACTAGCAGTCGCCCTGCTGCGGAGCTGTCTCCCCAGCCTGCCCTGCTCTGTGAAGACCTCGTCTGTCGCCACGTGGTCCGCTGTGTCCTGCTGGCCTGTGTCTGAGCAGCTCCTCAGATTTCCTTCTTTCAAAGTTGCTTTCGCCGTTCTTCTTCTTCCTCCAGTGCACACAAGGTTCAGTCTGTGCGTTGGAGCCGTCTGGGCCTGCAGGTCAGCCTGGAGGGAGCAGGTGGCTGGCCGCGTCCTGCCCACAGCCTTCGGCCTCCTGTGCCGCCACAGTCCGAGTGCTTCTGGGCGACCGGGCGTGCGTTTCTTTCTGTAGGGGACTTTATGTGGCAGCAATCACGTCCTCTGGTGCTGAGGTGCTTCCCAGCCCTTACAAGATTTGGCCAGGCATGGTGGTGCACACCTGTAGTCCCAGCATGTAGGAGGCTGAGGCAGGAGGATCCTGAGTTCAGGGTCAGCTTGCGCAACACAGTAAGTTCAAAGCCAGCCTGAACTACGTAACAAGACTGTCTCAAAAAACCTAGAGCAGGCTGGGGAGATGGCTCAGTGGAATAAGCACTTCCCTAGCAAGCGCACAGGCCTGAGTTCAATCCCAGGTTCCGCCAAAAAAAAACAAACAAAAAAAAACCCTAGAGCAATAGAATTGTACATTTTTAGTGTTTGTGCTACTGAAGCAAGCGCAGCTTTAGCATTTTAACAGTGTGTGGAAGTTGCTCAGTCTGACCTTGAACATGTGACCCTGCTGTCTCAGCCTCCTGGGTAGCTGGGATCACAGGCGGGGGGCGTGGTGTGAGGTGCCCTTCCCACACCCAGTGATGTCTCATGGCCCTTCCTCCTGACTGGTGGCGTGAACCTACGGCATGTGTGCTGCAGTGCGCTGTGTGTCATTGAAAGCTCTAGACGGTTCGCCCTCCTGACCGTACCATGTCATCGGTGCCCTCTAGAGCCAGTTTTGCTGTCCTGGGGTGACCTGCGCCAGGTGCTTTCAGCCTCCCCAGCACTGGGATTACAGGTGTGTGCCACCACACCTGGACTCTGGCTGGCTCAGCCTGCCCTGGGGGCGGGGCTGTTGTGACACGTGGTTCCCGCATGGAACTGCAGTCCCTGAGCCACCATCAGGGGCAGGGGAGCAATCATCGGGGCAGGTGACTGTCCTGTCGATGGAATAGCATGTGTTAGGGTACTGTGTGCCCACGAGGTGTGCTGGTGTGCCTTCACGCGAGAGCCCCCTTTTTTTTTTATTTTAGGGAAGAGTCTACAGGGTGTTCCAGGTCTCACTGCTAGATCAGACTTGTAGAGATCCACCCGTTTACAGCCTCAAGAGCTGAGATTACAGGCGTGTGCCACCATGCCCAGTCTCATTTGCCCTCTCAGGGTGCCCCGGGGGCAGGGCTGGCACGGCAGGCCCGGGAATCAAACCCCTATAGCAGGCATTTTAATTTGCTGAGCTATTTGGCTGGCCCTATAATGAATGGGTTTGTTTTTTTTGTTTTGTTTTGGGGTTTTTTTTTTTTTTGAAGATCCGGGGATTAAACTCAGGCCCTTGTGCTTGCCAGAGAAGCGCTTATTCTCCTGAGCCATCTCCCAGCCCCGATGAATGGTTTTTGTTTATTTTTTTTTTTAGGTTTTTTTTTTATTTTTTATTTTTTTAAATTTTATTTATTTGTGTGTGTGTGTGTGTGTGTGTGTGGCCAGCTCAGCCCACCAGGGGGCGGGGCTGGCTGGCATGTGGTGCTGGGGGATTGAACCGTGCCGCGGTCCCTGTGCTTTGCTAAGCTTGCTCTAAGTAGGTGCTGTAGACCATTGAGCCATCTCACCAGCCCCCCGATGAATGGTTTTTAATCATGCACATTTGGAGCAGTGTGGTGCAGTCTCGTAGCAGCGTTACAGTATTTGTGGCCTACAGCGCTGCTGGTGACATGTTCATAGGAGAGAAGCTTGTGGTGTTTCTCAGAGTGACTGCGAGACTTAGAGACAGTCACGTGATTGTTGTCACCATCGTCATCACGGTGGCTCTGGCCTGATGTGTGCATTAAACTTCACCATAGGCATGTGTGTTCATGAATGCTGGGCTTAGCCCTGTCCACTGGCACCCACCAGGCGTCTTGGGACAGGTGCCCTGCAGAGAAGGGGACACCATGCTAGCCTGGGTTCTGGTGTGGGGCCCTGCAGATGGAAGTTGAGGCAGCAGTGAGGGTGTTGCTGTGACCATACCGCCTGCGTGGGATTGGCTGTTGTCAAGGGCACCTGCTGACTGCAAGGAGGGCGCAGCAGAGCTGGCCAGGAGCTGGGGCACCCTGGGGACACATCGGGGCAGGTGTCTGTGGAGAGGCCACGTGGACAGTCTCAGACACAAGTGAGGCGCAGGCTTTGGAAACTGGGAAGCAGAATGCTCTCTGCAAAGTGGTGGCAGCCGGGCTGAGTCCTCTGTGTCGAGGGTCCCAGGGAGGTGGCAGTTAAGAGGCCTGAACTCATCTCTAAGCATCAGAGTGCCTGGTGCTGTGTGGCTGCTTTTTTGGTTTGTGTTTTTATTTTTGTATCGCAAGTATAAGGAGAGAGGTTGATTTTTTTTTTCTTCTTTTTTTTTTAGACAGGGTCTCG